ATATAATTTAGTTGGTCTGTAAATATGGGTTTTTTGGATATAGGGTATATTTTGCTGTGTTTTTATATCGTAGAAATATCTGAGGTCTCTAAACATTTGTTAAATAGTATTGTTAGTAGTTTGGTAATATGAAAGTGAATGTGTTTTAATATCTCATTAGAAATGAGTGATAGTCCTGTGTCTTTATTATTAGGTAATTAGTTTATAGTTTAGGTTACTTCCTGCACTGTGATGGGTTGGGTTAGTGTTTGGTACCAGGATGGATCTATATAATGTTGTGATATATATCTTTGTTTCTATTGCTTCCAAAGTATTGAATCATTAGGATTGTACTTTGTCAAGTTTTTAAAGTAGCTTCGTATATAGTTTTGAATCTCATAAGAATCTGTAATAATTGAATTTGTTAGCTTAATATTTGAAATATTATTGTATAAAGAATGCTATTGATCATTGTTGTAGTATGTGATGTAAAATTGTCATATCTTTTCTCAATGAACTGATAGATATGTTGTGAGAAGGTGTTGTAGTCTATTTAGAACTATGATGATATTTAATAGCAAGACAAAGCAACTCACCACTATCAAAGTGGGTTTTACAGTTTTTTCAATATGTATCCTTCTTACTAAAGTAAAAGGTAAAACCCTTCTTTTTTATTTTTTTTTTAACCATCTTATATACATTTGATTAGACTACATATTAATTACATCATAATTTCATTCTTATATATTTCTTTGACTTTTCCCTTAATTTTAATGCATCATACTTGATCATACGGTGCTTTGACTATTTTCAATTACCTCATAAATTGATCATACGATTCTTTGGCTATTCTTAATTATACATTATTTCATGCGCATCATTAATTCCCAACTGATCCTGATCATTAATTGCCCATGACTATCGATTATACATGTAATCACAAGATCACAAGATCACGATTCTATACACGAAACTTTCCAAATGCGACAAGCACATATTTATTTATTTTATTTATTTATATATAAATCGAACTGATTTTGTCCATAACAGAAGCTAGATCTCCTTTAACTCTTGTCCTCGAAGTCAGTACTCTTACTAATCGGTTCGACCCTACTAAGTTCTGCACTTTTTTTTAATTTTTTCACCCAATTCCTGGTGAAGGGATTCCGCAATTCACACCTATCCACTTCAGTCAGATAGAATTGTCCATAACTTTCTATTTTATTTACAATGTAAGGCCCTATCCAGCGATAATTGAATTTTTGTAGTGAATTATCAAGTGTAGAGTCATACACAAGTATAAGGTCACCAATATCAATAGCCTCTTTGTTTTTGTTGCTATGCCGATCATGAAATTCTTTCCATTTCACCTTTATTTCATCTTATCTTATTTAACTCATTAACTAATCCTTTTATCTGCATCGTTCTAAATTCGATTAACTCATTAGTCATCCATTGTTGCTTTGCCATCATGGCCTAATAACTTTTCAACATTAATTCTACAGGTATTACAGCATCTCAGCTATAAACTAGACGAAAAGGCGAATAACTGAGATCATTAACCATTATGTTGATAACCCAAATAGCTTCACATAAGTACTTATGCCATTTATTCTGCCTCTTGACACAAACTTTCCTCAGTATTCTGGTCAATTTTTGTACCATCCTCTCGGCTTTTCCGTTCGACTCAGGATGTTAACTCACAGAAAGATTATGATTTATACAGAGCCTCGAATTAAGTTCCTTTATTATTCCATTTTTAAACTCAGTACCTCTGTCAGATATCAAATCTGCAAAACATCTATGTCATAATATAACATCTTTCCATAAAAATTGAGCAATATTTGATGCAGTTTTCCTTTTTAATGCTCAATCTTTTACAAATCTCATCAAGTCTTCTACTGCTATAGCTATATATTCATGCCCACCCGTAGTTTGAGGTAATGGCCCAATGCAATTAACAAACAACTTATTAAAGATCCAACTAGTCGATGTGATATAAATTGGTTCAGGCGGAATCTTCAGTACACATTTTTGACATTCACTGCAGGATGAAACATACATCTTGGCATCTTCATATACCGTTCCGGTGGCCTATACATAATTTATTAGAATCTTTCGGGTTGTTGCATTTATTCTACAATGACCTTCTTTATTTGCTAGTCCCTCGTGATTTGCTTTTAATATATTCACCTTTTCTTCATCACTAAAAATTATTCTCCTAGGTGGTTTGCCCTTTTCCACTCTCCTAAACAGCCGATCATCAATTAAACAATATTTGCATACTTTGCACTGCAGTCGCTTTAAGTCCATGTTTGATACATCAGCAGGCCAAGTAAAATTTTTTAAGTATTCGTGAACAACTTTCAGATCAGTTAGTTTAGCATCCTCAGAGGTCACATATATTATCAATGAATCTATAAATTCTTTATCATCGTTCATGCTAATAGTAGAAGAGTTAGGTGAACAAGACATTCTATCTGCATTTCCATGTTTACTGTTTGGCTTATAATGCATCCTGAAGTCAAAAGACTGTAGTGCTAAAACCCATCTCATCAAGCGTCCTTTTAGCATAGCCTTATTGAACAACCATGTTAATGCTTGATGATCCACCTATATGTCGAATGTTGTCCCAGCTATATAATGCTCGTTCACATTACATCCAAAAATTACTCCCAGACATTCTTTTTTCATTATAGTATAATTCACCTCATGCTTATTCAGCTTTCGGGATTCAAAAGCCACCAGTCTTGACTTTCCTGTTTTATCTTTCTGCTCTAAAACAACTCCCAACAACACATCATTTGCATCAGCAAAGAGTTGATAAGGATGAGTACCATCACGTGCATCCTGCCAATTTGGCCCCTTTAACACCATTTCACTCAGTAAACAATTCTTTAAGGTACTAAAGGCTTCAACTTGTTTTTTGCCTCACTGAAACCCCACCTCGACTTTAGTTAAATCTGTTAATGGTTTAGCTATATAACTGAAATTTTTTATCAATTTCTGATAGTAATTCATTACACCCATAAATGATTTACTTGCTTAAGAATTTCAGATTCTTTCCATTCCCTAATCTTTTTAACATGTCTTGGATCTGCTTTGATACCATACTTACTAACAACATAACTATACATGTGCAACTCTTTATACAAGAGAAAGCATTTTTTAGCGGCAAAAGTCAAAACCGCTTCCTTAAATTTTTGTTCTAATCTAATAAATGTTTCTATATGATACTCGTTAGAACCATCTGTTCACAATCCAATATTATCCTGATATGCTGCTGCAACCTGCTTCCACTTATCAACTTCTAACACCACATCCATCAAGCGTTGAAACATCTCACTTGCATTTTTGAGGCCTATACACATTACCACATATAGTAAAGTTCCTAATAAGATAGAAACAGCAACCTTATTATGGTCTTCCTTTCAAAGACGAATTTGCTAATAACCTTTGAATGCATCCATACTTGAGTACCAATCATGGCCAGCAGCTTTCTCTAATATATCTCTTATCAACAGCAAAGGATAACTATCCTTAATGATATGTTTGTTGAGAGGCCTCATATCACCTACTACATAGAAACAGTCTGTCACACTTTCCTTCTTCTTTACTGGAAAACAATGGTATGCATATGGCCCATTCCCTTTTCTAATAATCCATATCTTACCATTTTTTTCAAATGCTCCTCAAACATTTTAGCATGTTCGGGGTTGTTGATACGAATTGGCCTCATATGTATTGGTGGTATTTTCTTCCCTCTGGAACATACTTCATACTGGACCAAATCTGTCTTGCCTATTTCAGATAACTCAAATATGAACACATCTGGTATCTTCCTAATTAATTTTCTACGTAACTCCTGCTTTTCAACTTTTGACAAATTAACGCCAATATTAATCAAGGTACTATTTTCTTCAGTTAGCCACATTATCAATTCTGGTCCTAATGCATTAATAGTTCTATTCCGTTTTTCATTCTTTACAGACCAACATACTAGCCTCTCTTCATGCTCTTGATCGATTATATAATCGTTATTAACACTATCAATTTCCTTTACTACTTGATTACTTATGTTCAAGCTTTCATACAAAACCTGACCTAATTTTTTTTTTTGTCAATCAACTCGTCTTCAACTACAACTCTACGCATTGTCATTAAATCTTCAGCTCTTTCCTCTTCATCATCACCATATTCTTTAAAACCATTCATCCACTCTTTTGGCACCACTGAAGCTATAAACGCCGCCCTTTTACTTTCTAATTCTATACTATACCACAACTTGTTATCTTTTCACTTCAGTCTGCACTTAGACGTAGCGAGCCAGGGCATACCAAGCAGCACATCAAAGCTCGCAGCCTTCATTATATAGAATTCTTGGTATACTATTATACCTTCCATTTCGATTTTGACATTTGTGATGCATTCAATAAACCTGCTTAGACGGTCATCTGCCATATGTCCTCCTTTATTTGCAGGCTGCCAATTAAAACCTCTTTTCCTTGCATATTTTTCGTGCATCAAATTTAATCGTGAGCCTGAATCAATTAGCACTACTACTTATTCTTCATTTATCCTGGGCGTGCTCATAGGCACATCCCTATTTTTAATATATTTGTTTCAAGGATCTCACGTACTATACTAATCTCAGAGTTCATGAACAGAACATCATTCTCCCTTCTTTTCCTGGTTAATGCTTTTAATACTTCAGCTTGAGCTTTAGAGGACCATTTAAACAGTTGGCCCAATGTTATGGTTATTTCCTTCTCATTCATTACCTTTAAAATATCGACTTCTTCAGTTAATTCTGATATGGGTATGTACATAGTTGACTCTTTGTTATTGTCCTTACTTTTACTAAGCCCTACTATTGAATCATCATTCTTTTCTTTGTCTGTTTTCTTCATTACTTCCACATTCTTTCCTCTTCTCGTTCTACGTATTACTACTTGGTCCTCATCCAATTGCCATCTTTTCCCAATATTTCTAATATTAAACAATGCCTCCTTATCATTCACTTATATCCTAAAATATTCATACTTTTTTGGTACTGTTTGTTCTGTCACCTTAAACAATAGAACATCAGCTTCTCTTATTTCAGGATCTCTTTGTTGGCTATTTTGCTCAACATTTATTCGATTATTGACTTGTCCAGTTCGGTTTGGACAGTCGCGGGAAATATGTCCTTTTCTGTCATATGTGTAGTATCTACAGGGCCTAGAATTTTGATTTTGATCAACGTTTCCCCTATTTTGTTCTGC